AAACAAACTGTAACCACAGAGGTATGTATATTTTTTTCAAGAATCTTCAAAAAAAATTTGCAGTTGCAGCAATGAACAATATGGTAATTTGGTTATAATACACTCTCAAACAAAATCTACAACAATGGATCGACCAAGGATGATAATGATCCCTACAAGGATCTCTTATCTTATGTATTCCTTTAATAAAAATCATGTTTTTTTTTGTCAACTTTCTTATGAACAAATCCCAAAGTTTATCTCTGTCGTTTAATCGGGTATATGATGCCGGTTCATTGCATTCTGCATCCTCGTTCTACTGATCGAAGATATATCAACCCACGCCTTATTCTCTGCAACAAAAGGTAGTTTCAACAATCATAAGAAATGGATCGTTCTCATGATTTTATCGAGCAATCTAAGACTAATCGATAGTCAAGTACCTCTCCAGTATCTTGGAGCCGAAGTAGTTCCAATCTTTCTGAAGGTCTTCTATCTGTTAATGTAGCAAGCTGACGCCAAAAGAAGAAGGCATTGAGCAACAATTTAACACATTACATTTTCAGAGTGTTTTGCTGATGAAGAATTACCCAGAAACTGAAGCGTTCGGGATCTTGAGGTGTAGGTATCATTGATTCAACATTTAGAAGTACTTCAAGTCTTCTTCTGTCTGCGAGCAAAAGAAAAGGGAAAAGATTAGATCAACTATCAATCAATTACTGTCATAACACAAAAACTGGTTATTACTAGAATATGAGATACGGATCCAATTACAACGCCAATATTCAATACTATGCTCATCAACAAAATAAGAAACGACAATGGTTGATTAAAAGATAGTTTAGTAAGCCTTTTACGCGGTTTGAGAACAATCTATTGAGTTTGAGCACAACCGGGAAAAGATATAGATAACACGATTGGGCAGAAACAGCACTTGAGTAATTGTTTATTTCGAGTTTTTTTTTTAAAACACTATGTTGAAATTATCAGGTCTCATGACTAGTTCACTTTCCATTATCAGCTTGATAAATAGTTGCTTACCTCCTTGTCTAGCTGCTTCCTTTGCTCTCTCTAGCCATGACCGAGCAAATGATGCTGCACTGCTCGTCAGTTCCCGCAGCTGTAAGAAGTCAAGTAACAAAGAAAGGTGAGAGAAAAAAAGGAAATGAACTCATAGTAACGAAAGCAGAGAAGTTTTGAAACGGCATAGCACAAGAGATATAATCCTGTTGAGAGATCAATAATCATACATTTGCTTTCTCTTGGTCGCTTTGTGGTGGTATATCTGTCACCCATTCAACCTCTGCAACACGATACCTGAAAAACAAAACGGATAATAAGATGCTAAGCATTTGTGTTTAAATACGACTGAAATGAGGGACATGTATATAACAAATTTAAACAATTGTATTTGCAAAAGGACTCAATATTTGATCTTCACACATGTTGAAAAATAACGGAAAAATGCGAAATAAGAACATGTACTTATCACCATTTAACACGAATACAAAGACTATTTAGAAAACATAACAAGGAACAATAAGATCTGGAAGCTATCAGAAGCATACGACAAAGCTTACCCATCTTGATCCCAAGCTTTTACAATGCGACACCTTCTATGGCTTTCCAGCTGAAAAAGCAGATACTAAGTTAATCATTTGACAACTTACACAAGAAATAAAGCAATAACATAAGTAATACACATAATAAAAAGCAGACTACTTTAATCAATAGTTAAGTCACAATGAAGCTCAAATGTTAGATAGCCTCCTGACAACTATTGCAACTCCAGAAACCATACTCTAAGGACTGTATTGCCTCATTGAAGGTACTAAAAAAATATGCTCTCAGTAGTGTAACTATGTCACGTAACAATGGATTTAGCCAAATAGATTCAAGTTATATGGATTTAAAGAAGTAGTGAAATAATATTCACCTCCAGGACAAAACGTCCATCCGGGAGTGGATCACACCTGTGAATTCCAAAACATTAGCAGACTCTCTGTGAGTTCTCCCAACGTAAAATCATCAATTGAACGACATTAAGTATCATCAGAAAGAAAGAAGCAACAAACTCTGTGATTTCAACTTCGCAAGCAACATCCACTGGAGAACCTGTTGCAGAATCAAGAGCTACCTATGAACATCAGAATGGGCAAACCTTACTAGTCAGGAACCTTTTATGAATGTATGCTAAAGAAGAAAGAAGAAAAAAGACACAACACCCACCATTCCCATCCGATGATTTCCCTCCATAATTCTTCTTACCTGTTTCAGTCATCACATGTTAATCAAAGTAAACGATAAAGGAGAGATTCAAAAAGAAGTTTTTCTGAATGCAAACAGCAATAGTGCTGCAAGCTATTAGCACTTGACTTTCAAGGTGTTTTTTTGCTAAATTGAATGCTCATATGATGAAGACTTTGACAATAACTTTTACATTCTAAGATCATTTTAAGTATTGTAAAAGTGAGCTAGAAACAAAGTTTTACACTAAATGAGTGTCCAGTAGCCGCAATGAGTAAGCTACTTAACTTCTAAAATGTACAGAACCGTACAATCAATTGAAAGAACTCACCATTAGTCGATATCTTGGTTCAAATATGTGAAGAGACAACTTCTGACAGGGGATGATTACATCCATGACAAAAAGAGGCATACTTTCATTGCCTAAATGGACCAGAGTGTCTTGCTCTGATTTCCTTTCAGCATACTCCTCAGGAAAGTTTTTTTGTATGATGTTATTCAGTGTCACACTGCCAACATAAGTAAGTTTAAAGCACAAGCGTCCAACACATGTATGATATGGCATGGAACTATAAGGAGAATAGAGAGGAGTGCAAAGTTATTACCTGACAGCGCATGTTCTTGGAGTCATAAAAATGACAGTTCGGCATAGTGGACATTTGTTGCCTATATTCCACAAAGCATTGATAAGTAAGACAATAGTAAAAGAATATATTTTCAGGAGCAAAACAACAATCAACCATATAAACCTACCGCGATCCATTGACTGAAAAAGGCATGATCGGCAGAATGTATGTCCACATGGAGTTGTAATAGGGTCATACAGCAATTTCAGGCAAACAGTGCAATCAAAGTCATCAGACCGCTCAGCTTTTCCATGGGTCTTTCTCATCGAAGTAGGCAGAACCTTCTCCAATTCCTGAAGATTGGATCGGAGAGGATCGCTTCATGCCATCAGAAAGAAACCCCAAACTTTAAAAACGACACATTCGGTTAGGCATCAATACAGAATCAAGAATGGTACACATAAACTACCGTACCTAAAGGGATCAATCTGTAGACCTGAGAGGATAGTGTCACGTGCTGCCTCATATCTTTCTAGCTGCAGAATGAAAAAAAATGACGTGTGACATGAAATACACCGAAAAACTTTTGAGAGTACCTTGGATAAAGACATGCAGGAATGATTTGTTGACTAAAACAAAATGAATTTCAAGAAAGAATAATAAGTCAGCACATACCAAAATGAGGGCACACGCCTTAATAGTATATGTCTTCACTGAACTGCTCTGAAGATTCATCAATTTATCAGCATCCTTAAGAGCAAGCTGCAGGGAATATCAAGTTTTCCAGGGTAAGCCAGGGTCGATTTTTTTGAAACTGCTAGTAACAGGTTAAGCAAGTAGAATACATACTTCCCCAAGCATCGACATATCAAAACCATTCAGAGGTCTATATTCAGAAATTGATGCAGATCTCTGCTTCAGATATTGGCCAAATCTAAAATACAGAAGGAAATAAGAATATGTCTATACGATGTAATATCCATGAACCGAGTAAAAGGGAAAAAAATTAGTAACACAATCCAATATAATCTTTTATCAAAACAACATGACAACTCCATTAGAAGTCAAAGAGACAACATGCGTTCCATGAAAGCTTACCTTATATAAGCAGCACTTCTATTGGCTAGAACAATAGGATCAAGAGGCTTAACGGAAAAGGCTTTGGAATAACAGCTAATCGCCTGGAATAAAAAAAAGATATGTTGTTGGCAGGAACATATATGAGAGTCACATTTGGATTTCAGCATCAAAGCTTTAAACTACAAGGAATTTGCAGAATATTCTATCGGAAAAAGATGTTGTTAAGTAGAAGTTATCACAAGTTCAAAGCCAGAAATACAAATGTTTCATATGCTACTATCATTATCAACCAATCGATAACCAAATTGCATTAAGAAGCTACAAGAAACCCAAACAAGAAAACAGAGACCAAATCAGTTTGGATCAAACATCTCAGGCAATTCCTAATAAAGAAGCAAGCAAGAGCAACAAAAAACCATTAGAAAGCTTTTCACCTCTTCAAAGCGAGACTCTTTGAATGCTTGGTTTCCCTTCTCCACAAGTTGAAAAACCTGATTGTGTATCTCTAAAGGTAACGAATTGTCTGCTTCACTGACCTGGAAAATTCAAGAACAAACAAAATTCAGATGATCAAACTGTAAACAACCCTAAAAAAACATTACTGAAACTTAATCAACAATCCAAAATTAGAACATGCATTGTTCGCAAATCGCAATAAAGAAGAACTAATCCAATAATCATCTTAATCACTCACAAGACCGTAGTTTTCGACATCATCCAAACCGAACAAAGTGAATGCCTGAAGAGATTCTTCGTTCGAAGACATCGAGTGATCGATTCGACCCACGAAAGAGAAAAAGATTGAAAATTTGGGGGCAAGAGATTATGATAAACGAAGAAAGTTGA